AAAAGGTAAAAGAATATTTTATACTTATTTTCCAGGATTAATTTGGCGAGTCAGGATTTCAAACTGTATTGTCTTTTTTTAACAAGCGCTAGATCTCTATATCTACAACTGTATTCCATTGAAATTTCAATCAGTTTGTATAGAATGTATATGTTTCATAGTAATTGATAAAGATATGAAAAGAAGCATGTAAAATGGAAAAAGTCTTCAGTAGGGGGTTGTGCATTTAAGCAACATAATCTACCACTTGCCAATGACCACAGGAGTGCTAGCTCATTCACCTTCTATCCAGCTTTCTGCTCATCACCTGGGTAGACAGCAACAATGGCTCAAGTACTTGAGTACCTGTTACCCCCACGAAAGACTCAGAATAAACTTATGGCCTGGTCCAGACGCGGCTAAGTGGCTATTGTGGAAATCTGGGGAATAGACTAATTGTTGGAAGTCTCTCTCTCTCTCTCCATTCTCCCACCTTTTTCTATTTTTACATATGCATCTATCTATATCTACTCTTATTCTATCACTCCACATTGCAAATACATTGGCAAATGAATCTTAAAAATAATTAATTTCGGAGATAATAAAACAATTAAGCTTCAACAAGTTGTTGGGGGAAACAGTATTAAAAGCAGATTAGGAAAAAAAGCAGATCAGAAGCTGTTTTACAGAGTAAAACATAAGGATTTAATAAATCTAGATATATTTTATTACTATTTTCTCTTGCTGTCATTATTTCTATTATGTGAATCACTGCAAAATTATAAAAGGGGTGATAATTGCTATGCTTAATTAAACTAGGAAAAGTGCTACTAGAGTAAATTAATAAGTAAATCATTTGAGTTCATTTGTGAAAACATCAGCAGTTTTGTGTTATTAAAAATCCACAGTAGTGAATCCTTTTATAAAAGATGTTTTCTATTTTCCTATAACAAATAAAATTGTAGTTTTTCATGGGACCATAGCTCAGGTAACCAAAAATAAACATATTGACACATTGTATTATTTTCCTTTTCAGTTCTGAAGAATTTGAAGAACACCAAAATTTGTATAATTAAAATATTTAAGAAGAAAGCAATGAGAATTGGAATTTAAACTGAATTAAATATTTTCTACATTTTCATGAAACAGTTTGTTTGAAAATGTTTTTAAAGAAAACTGGATTGCAGGTTTATTTATAATTTAAAACTTGATTCCTTCAGAAATAAGCCAGAAAATTACTTTCTGTAAAAGTATTTTAGTTCTAATGAATGTTTTCTATGAGTATACCACTAATTCTGGCCTCTGTACATGTTTGACATCTGTACATGTGTGAGCTCACTTACACACAATGCACATTCAATGAAAGCTAACTGAGATTATCCTTGATACACCAGAGAAAGGGGTACACAAATGTTAGAGCAATTGCTCCTTGGTCCTAGCAAATTGACATGAAGATTTTTAAGGTTAACTGGCTGAAAGTACACAGCAGATAAAATTTCACACAAAAAAAGCATGATCTCACAAGCGATTTCTGAAAGCATATTCCACTTTCCTATTAGAAAACAACAAATAACAAGAAAAATAATGCCATTAATACAATGCCAAGAGAAACTGGCTTGACCAAATATAACTATATGTGTGTATTTAGACTTCAGTTATTTTTAGCATTTAATAAGCTAATGTATACCACGGTTCAGCAAGAGGAGGATATATGTAATCATTTAGACAAAATGCTTTTTGAATGCTGATGACAAGGCTAAGGACTAAAGAAGTAGAACTGATAAAGATGTAATATTGACTACTAAAGGAGGTATGTATGATGAAAGCTATGAAAATATACAAGGAATAATCTGTACACATGATAACCATTTTAGGAAAACTGGAAGAAGTCCATTTAAAGTAACAAAGCAGATGGGCAGAATTATTTAGGTAGCTGAAGAGAAGGGAAGATACTTTAGGCACATGTATGCCTTATATAAACATGTTGAGGGAACAGATTCAGGTAACTGTGAAAAATCTAGTACAACTAATTAAGGATAAAAGTTATTGTAAGAAGTTTGATCTGAAGAACATGATAGGGTCAGAGATTTGGTAAGGGTTTTGGATTTTATCCTAAATGTAAGCAACCAATAGGTTCTAGCAAATATGTGCCAATGCTAATTATGCATTATTATCTGTACTGATAATAGATCATATTAATTCTATCTCTAGAATGTATCCTAAATATCTTTGCTTTTCTACATATCTAATGCAATCCCCCGGTCTAAATAAATACCCATCCTTTCTCAATATTGTTGTAACAATTATCTGTCAAATGTTTTGTTATCAAATTGAGGGGAGGATCCTCAACTTCCTGTCTTGACTCAGGACCCCAAAATTCATATCATTAACAACTAGCATCTGTAACTTTTAAAACCAGTGCCTCCCCACGGCCATCCATATAATCATGTTTTGTTTCTACGTAACACTTTAATCTTACTCTCATTCTAGAACCTTTGTATTTTGCAAATTTGTAATGTGCATGCTCTGTTTTCTTTTTAGGTATTCAATCACATAAATACATAAAAGTATCCAGGCAAATGGAGGAACAGATTAAGAAACATGTTCCATCACAGAATTTTAGTTTTCTGAAAAGTTTTTTTGTCTTGATATCTCAGACTTCTGAATAACTGAGACAATTTGAAAATCGCAAAGTTGACATCATTTTTTTTCTCAAAAGTTAAAACCAATTCAGAATTGTATACTGCACAAAATTTATAAGTTGCTTCAATTTTTTTTTTTTTACTTTCCTTTTTATATGTAGACAAAGATAAGGAAAAAAATCTGGTTGGTCTTTTTAAATGACAATCAAGAACCTCATTCTCTAGGGAACATATTAATTCTGACAAACATTTTCCAGTGCCCTTGCTAATTACAAAGCTTTACTTTCAGAACTTTTGAAAATGCTGTCAAACAATAGAAGGATGGCTAATGTCCTTGAGTGTCTCTCTCTACAGTAGATGCTGTGACCTGGGTGTGGTTCCTGAATTGCCTATTCATTCTAAGTAGCATATTCTGTAAATAGCAAGCAAACACTGTGGACACAGGCTGTGTTTTTGACTATTCAGTGGCTACAGGAAATAAACTCTGCCCTAATTTCCTACATTATTCAATAGGGTGGAAGCCAAGGGAATACAAACCACTGTGACCTTTAAGTACATTCCTATGACATAATACCCAAGATGAAAAACTTTCAGCGGCATTACACTGCCTTTTTGTATCAGGAATATGCATGTTGGCTGATATTAGTAAACAAAATGCATTAACTCTGGAGTTGTTAGCAACAGAAATCACCTTATATTTAGAAAACATGTTTATGCAGCTTCTGTTACTATTTGGGAAGAAAATGCTATATATTTAAAAGTAATTACTATTTAGTCAACTAGATTGATGTGGATGCTTCTTTTTAATATAACATATTTATGGTATGACTGCACTATACTAATTATTCTTCCTTTCATTTTTACTAAAAAAATTCTCATTCAGATGTATAAACATTGCAGAATGACCATTAGGTTTCTTTTTATGGACAAACAAGGAAGTAGACAACCAACCAATAGAATGTCCTAGAAACAGCTGATTTCCTGGGGACAGCTATAAACTTCACAGCTGGAAACCCACCACATCACTTATATTTTCAGCTAACCATACCTGGATAGGAATAGCAGAATGTGAAATAGCTGCTTCTTTTGGGTCTCTTTTCCATCTAGGCAGAAAGAGACATTTACCCCAAACCTAAAATGCATACATGGCAGCAAGCACATTTTGTATCTGTGGATACTTTTGAAGGTGATCTATGAAGTTGCTTAACCGGAAAAATATTTCTGAACATTTTTCAGCAAAATGTAATCAGTCACTGCTCTTTCTGGTATGGAAAAAAAAAAATAGAGAGGGAGAAAGATCTGAGAAATTCTAATTTGAGAGGTTAAAAGTTTATGGATGGAATAGAATTTTCAGATCCCCTTTATTCATTAATTCAAAAATATTTTGTAAGATGTATGCTGGAATTGCCAGCTGGGTGTTTCCAGATAATAGCTGTCCCTAGACTCTGAAGCAGGATGCAGGGACATTTTACTGTAAATCACTATATGATATCAAACACACCCAGATATCCTGGGTTAGAAGCATGCAGCCGTTACCAGAATGGTAGCTGTACAGTTCCCTATATTTCTTTGAGATACTGCAGATATACAGAAACACTTAGGTCAGCATAGGTATTATCAACGGAAAATAAAATGCCTACCAAGTTCATTAAGATAAACTTTTCACTGATGCTGAAGAATTCTCTTGTTTGAAATACAATTCAGCAACCTTTGAAAGGAAAATGAATGTGCTCCATAGTTAAGAATTCTCCTATTTCAGTAGATTGTGCATATCCTGTGACTTTTGGCTTTCTAATTAGTTGGTGGCTGTATCAAACCTCTTACTCTAATTTTCCCCAAGAACCTATAATAAGCCGAATTAGGTGTTATCAAGTCTGTTGTTAGTTCAAAGACTGTCTCAAATGCATGGATATGATCTCATCTATTGCTTTTCCCCCATTTTCCGAATCAAATTTTAATGTATTGGGGTCACTGTGGCATGTCTGGTGAAGCAAACACCTGTGATGCTGACAACACATGTGTGTACCAATTCTTGTCCCAAGCTGCTCTACTGAAGATCCAACTCCCTGATAACACACCTAGGAAAACAGCTGGAGAGGACCCAACCCCTGAGTCCGCCAAAGATGAAGATCCTGGGTCTTGAATTCTGCCTGGCCTAGCCGTGGCCAATGCAGCATCTGTGGAAGTGAACTTTCAAGTTCTTGAACTTCAGGATTCTCAAATTATAAACACCATCTCCAACACTCTTCTGGCTGGGTCATCTTCAGTGTTAAAATTTTAAATCTAAGAAAGCTTGCAGTCTCCTAATTTGTTAGTCTGCTTATTTCACACAGACACACACATACATGCAAAAGTAGCATGTGGGGTACAATTCGCATTTTTATTTGATAATGCTTCTTCAGATATCTACAATAATCTTGCTCAGTGGCCATGCCAATCTCTTTATCATTCCAATTTTAGTATATGTGCTGCTAAAGCAAGCACATCTTCAATAATCTCAATCTCTTCTAAAATCAAATTGAATAACAACAACAAAATTGGAATTAGATGCCTCTCTAATGATTTTCACCTGTCTTCACCAGATGAATCGAATCATACTTGGCACTTCTCCACCCACTGTCTCTCTCAAGAAAATATTCTTCAGAAACAACTAATTCATACTTCCTTTAAATTTCTTCATCTATACACCTGCTAAATTCTGTATTTTCTATTTTTCACAAAATATACTTGATTTATTTAAAATTCAGACAAATCCCTCTGGGTACCATTATTCTACTTTGGTGTTCATGCCTAACTTTTTTAAACAGTGTTGCTCATATATGTTAAACCGCAGAGTCCCTTAATTTAGAATACCTTTGCTGCCTCCAATACCTATTTCTGTAACCCTTTAGCCATATGTAATTGAGATTAGTGATTAGATTGCTTAATATATGAAAACACAATTTTTCCTCAGCCAGGCGGAAGGAGCAGCATGATAGACACTCTATATTTAATACCACTACCCAAAACCACAGTCAGCTAAGGAATCCACATACCCTTTTCGCCTGGTTTCTGTTTGTTTTGGTTGTTTTTATGTTTATTTGGTTGTACGTGTTTCAGTTAGGTGGTGTGTCTATTTGCACTTGAAGATCAATGGCTGGAAGTCTGTACAGTATCTTAAGTTTAAGATCTCTGTCTCAATTTCCTTCAGTAATTTCAGAAATGGTACTTGTTCTATAATTTGTACAGAAAAGCAATGCAAAACATCAGTCCCACTATCAGCTCTACCATTATGCACAAATGTGACTTGGTGTGTGCATGCATGCATCTGAACTTTTGCTGTGTACCTGTCACTAGACCTAGGCATTATGCCAGTAGAAAAATGTGCTCCAAATACAGATTTCATGACCATACCTAGGATAATACATAGAGTAGGATGTGATCTTTTTAGGAAACCATATTGCTACAAGTCCATTTTGCGTTTTAATTCCCTCCCTTGAAAACTCAATGTTTTTTCCAAGTCATTCCCTGCTGTAACAAGCAAACTATGATGGGAAAATATCCTTTAACCACACCCCATGGATCATCTTCTTAATAATAATTTATCAACACATTTTTCTGAAAAAAGATTTGAAGTTTGATATAGTTCAATCTTGCTGAAATATAAACAGTTTCATCTTTCCTTCAGCACTTAGACTTTATTGGTTTTCCAAAAGATATTAAATTAACATGCTGAATAATAAAAGAGTCAATAATGTTTTTTACAAGCTCTGCATATAAATTAAAGAAAAGATTGTTGAAGAACTGACAGATTGAAGACAGCAATAGTTGATGGACATATAGCGCAGAATAAATTACATTCTTTATCGAAATGTATAACAAATAATCTCTGAAGGCCATTTTCTTTCATCAGAGCAAACCATGAAGAAAGAGTATAGAAACAAAATAAACTCCTCAATTATTCGTAAATTAAGGATCTAAGCATGTTTAAAGTGTTCTAGAATCCCAACGAAATGCATGAAAACACACTTTGTTAATCTGAGATTTGAAAGAACTGCATGTACTTCGCTTGCCCTTGAAACCCAGCACCTCATTTTTAACTGTACCAAGTTTACATTTTACTTACAGAAATTAATCTTCCCCTTTGCTAAGTGCATTGGAAATCATGAGCACTAACTATGTAAATGATGCTAGGAACTGTATCCCCCAAGTATGAAATAAAGCTCTAACTAGATAATGCTAATAAATATTAATATATGGAGATAGCAATAGAATATTAAATGATTAAGCTGCCCCAAATAAGAATAATAATATACCTAAAGTCCTCTAGGCAGTCATTCATTGTTTTAGGGCTCTACAAATATTAACAAAAGCAGAGCCAGCAGAGAATTATATGTCCTAAAGGTTTATGACTTGAATTGCCCTAAAAAGAAGAATAGTCAGTGGCTACAACTAAACAGGTGAAAGATTGGTTTAGTTGGTTAGACCTGGTAATTAATTCTGAAAGATATGGCCTATTTTTTACCTCTTTCAGTAATCAGGTTTTCTTCCATAGAAATTACCATTTTCTAGTCTGTTTTCTTGAGGCGGGTGAAGGGTGGCGGGGGGGAGGAGTGGAAGGTGCTTTGTAAGCTTTAGGAGTCTCTGGAGAATCTGCTGTTTTCCTAACTGCATTATCCATTTTCCCTCAAATAATCAAGTAGTAAATACTAAAGTCAAGGAAACAGCCTGACATTAAGCAAAATGTAGAAGCCTCCGTCACTTAAAGCAGAAATGAAGTACCAAGGCACATTTCATGGTTCCTTACATCTTTGCAGGTCCATGGAGCCAAAAATGAAATAAACAGCAGCATCCCTAATTCCCCTGTAGAAGAACCTGCCTTGAATTCATCTTACACTGACTTAATTGAAGAATGTATTTTCCAATTCTTAACAAACAATGTCAATTCAAGAACTCCTTCTCTCAAGTGCCCTGTATTTGGTTTGTTTCCCATAAACTTCAATATTGCTATCATGTGATATGACTGATGTTTAGGTCAAATAGATTTCCTTTGAAAAACTAAATAAGTCAAGCCACACACAACCCACAGTCAGCTTCTCATTTTATTAACAACTTATAGCAGTATATTGTTAAAAATTAGTGAACTATAGTTCATAGCATCCACTGGCAGATCTGGGGAGTTCTGCCCAAGTGGTTTGGGAAGTTCTGAAACACAGCCCTCCCAATGTCCATTGGCTGACATAGTCAACCTCTTGTCTCCACTGAAATTATTATTATTATTATTTTGCTGTGATTGCTTGTCTGAGGTAGTTTTCCAATTTGTTTTACTTTCTTTCTTCTCTATGGTACCGAACAAATCACCACTTGGGGACCCTGGGTTGCTATCAGGTGGTGGTTCCCCATTCCTGAGTACTGGGACCTTTGGAAAATCAGGTATAGCTTGCCCCCGTCTTTTTCTCTTTACCTCAGAAACAAGAAGAAATAACAAATTTGAAAACCATGAATTCACCCACTTTTCCTTAAACCTCTGTCCTTCCCACTCTGATCAACAATGTAATCATCAAAATAAAGCAATTATGAAAATAATGAGCATAATAATCTCCCTTTATATTTTTATATTTTTTAAAGATTTATTTATATTTATTGTGAAGTCAAATATACAGAGAGGAGGATAGACAGAGAGAAAGATCTGTCCATTGATCACTCACCAAGTGGCCACAATGGACAGAGCTGAGCAGATTTGTAGCCATTTTCTCACAGTCTCTTCCAGGTCTTGCACACAAGTGCAGGGTCCCAAGGTTTTGGGCCGTCCTCACCTGCTTTCCCAGGCCACAAGCAGGGAGCTGGATGGAAAGTGGGGCCACTGGGATTAGAACCGGCACCTGTATGGGATCCTGGCGCATGCAACACAAAGACTTCAGCCACTAGGTTACCATGCCAAATGCAAACTCCTTTTATTTTTAACTCGAATTCCCTGTATCCTCCCATTCATCCCAGTGCTTAGTAATCCCTGTTTTGAGTTCATACTAAACTGCTATTTTGTAAGCATTTACAATTGAGAGTCAAAATATAGGATTTATCTTTCAGTGTCCAAGTTATTTCATGCAACATAATGCCACTCAGTTCCATGCATTTTGCTCCAAATGACAGTATTTCAGCCATTTTTATAATTGAATAGTAAAATTCAGTATAGTATTCATAATCACAGAATTACTGCTGTTGCACAAATTGTACTTCTTGCTTATGTGGGCTATATGAAAAATAAATAAATAAAAAGATAAGCTGGAGGCAACTCGACAGCTTGATTGCACCCTGCTTGGAGGAACCAAATTCACACACACACACTCACACTCACACAGAAAAAGAATTAATAGAAAGACAACACAAAGCAAAAAGCACAAAACGAAGAGTTCATAGATGTGATTTCCAGTAAATCCATTCATTTCTATACAGTGTATAGCTTTCAGCCTCAATAAAAAGCCAATTATTAATCCTGCAATTACCCGGCCTTATCACTACTGTCCACACATGCTGACCATGGCTAGAGTTCTACATGGTATTCTTTTCATTAGTGTTTCCAAAGGGAAAATTTAATTAGAGATACATCTCTCGAATGGACAAGAGAAAAATATAAGGATTAATACATTAATGCTAACATGTAATTACATTAAAATATCTACCAGTCTGTATAGAAAATATTGACCCTGCTTCTGACCTTCTTATTTGTTCTCTCTTTATATAACAGGGAGAACATTATTTTAAGGGGGAAAAGCGTGTTAGTTCCTTCCTGTAAGCTTGTGTACTGACTGCACAGGAAGAAATAATCAACTTAGTTTATTCTGAACCCAATCAGTTCCTGACTGCATTCCATAAATGCAGGCATTTGGAAGAAAACAAGCTGATCCACAGGTAACAGAAACCAAAATATGTACCGATGGAATGATAGGAAGCTGTGACTAAATGATTCCAGGTAAGACTAATATAGAGTAACGGGAAGAAACCCGTTGGTAGAAAATTTAAAGAGATAGTCATGCTTACATCACAGATCTCTGATAGCCAAGCTAACAACTAAATTGCTATGCCATAAAAGTGTAATTTCTTCCTATCTGACTGTTTCTTGGTATTGTTTTTCTCTTAATCAGGAGTGTGATCTTGTGATGCAATTCTCAGGTGTCTACATATAAAACCCAGCTATCCGGCTCGCAAGCACCCACTAAGTCCTTCACATTTGCCTGCTGTAACTTTACTATTATTGTTTTGACATTTCGGAAGCAGATGCATGTTTTTCATCTTGGAAGGCAAGCATCTGTTCTTCAGAGTTATCCCCAGAAGCTGGAGTTTTCCAGCAGACACGCATTACATTAGAGATGCTCTTTACAACCACAACCTATATTCATGTGCCTCAATTGAAAATATTTTAAGAAAAACTTCTGAATAAGCTGAGAAATGCAAAGACTGCTGACATTGATTAAATACGTACAATGTGCACTGGAAGTAATCTATGC